ATATGATTTTTTTTTTTTGCACTTTTATTTGGAATGGATGCTAAAACGTTGCACAAATAATCTATGTGAACAAGCTAAGCCCATCTTATGATTATGAATTTACAATGAAGTGATAAAGATGTAAGATATTTACCCCTCGTCCGTGGGTTCAGCTGGCGAAGGGGTCGGACTCTCTCACCAAAAGGAGGGGGTTCGATCTTGGGGAGTGCCACTTTGTTGTGGCTCCAGTCGTGGCGTTGGGGGAGACATCTCCACAGAGTAGTGAAGTTGGATGATTCCTACCTATTGAGCCAAAAAAAAAGGGTTTGCTTGTCATGCTCCCGTGCCCCATAGGGACAGGCCCCAGTGGATCAAGCGTTAGGTGTCCTGCCCTTGAATTGTGAGTGAGCGCGACCCCTCTCCTAAAATTTTCTTACCAAAAAAAAAAGATGTAAGATATTTGGCTTTTTAAAAAGCAAATTGGTAAGGTAGTACCAAAATTATATTCCTTTTTTTTTTCCCAACAAGTACCAAAACTATATTCCAATTTAGAACATGCATAGATTGATTTGAAGTTTTTTTCAGTAGAAAAATAATTTATTTTAAATTAGTATTAATCATTCAATCAATTTGCATATGATTTAAAAAATTCAAATTTCAAATACGGTCAAATTATCCTAAATGACAATTATTATCTCCCTCTAATATGAGAGAATAAATTCAATAAAATCTGATACTACAGGAATATGCATTTGATACAGAGGAACGTTGTTGGCAAAAAAAAAAAAAGATATAGGAATATTTAACAAAATTTAATACTCCTCAGTCTAATTATAAGACCCAATTGACTTATTGAGGAGATTAAGGAAGTAAGTTAAGTGGTATTTATAATAAATAAGTGTTGTTATTCAAAATATCCTTGCTAATTAAGTATATGCTAAAACTATTATTAGAAGGATATCTTGGAAAAAAATACATAAATTATAAAAATGGATTGGTCTTATAATTAGGACCTAAAAGTCATGGGTCTTATAAAAGGACCGGAGGAGTAGTTTGCACTTCTCAGGAAAAGAAACGGATCATCTATAATATCGCATCGCATAACACACACGCACACTTCAACTTTCAACATTATTGTACAGTACTACCTCCGTCCTTAATATAAGATCCCGTTTGATTTTTTGTTTGGTCCTAATTATAAGACCCCAATCCATTTTGTCTCTCATATTTATGCATTTTTTTCAAGATAGTCCTTCTAATAATGATAGTTCTAGCCAATACACTTAATTAGCAAGGATATTTTAGAATGACTACACTTATTTTTACAAATTACAAATAACTAACTTAACTTACTTCCTTAATCTCCTCAAATTAGTCAACTGGGTCTTATAATTAGGACCGGAGGTAGTATGAGCTAGCATCTTAAACACCAAAAAAAAGAAAAAGTCTTTTGTTATTATTTTCAATTCCCTGTTATATTTAGAAGGTTTGAAGTTTGAACATATATAGACAAAAAGTTCGTATCAATGTTTCTCGTTATTTCCTTGATATTTTATTATTTTAGGCCTTCATTCTTGTTGCGTATTAAAAATATATTTTTAAAATTAATTTTGAATGCAGAGGGCAGTAATCTAAGTAACCAAAAAGTGAGGTATGCTGTATGCAATCATTGGCAATAATTGTGATTTTTAATTTGATGATACATATAAATATTTACACAATTTGTTTTGGAGATACCAAGAGGGTTTATAATTTAAATCTAAACCAACAAGATTTCAATTATAAAAAAAAGTTCTATTACTACTACCTAGCTAGCTTTCAATGACAATATTTATCACATTTTTTTCAAATGAAAGAAAAAAGTTCTATTATATTTCTGAACCAATATTTAAAATATATAATTATCATTAAAAACATGAGAAAAAAATAATCATGCCTATAATTTTATCGATTTATTATCAATAATTCATAAATATAATAATTTACAATGACGCATGCTGTTTATACAAATAATAAAATACTCTTAAATCAAACGGTCACGCATTTGAAGAAAGCAACATAATTTTTTTTTTTCAAAATAAAATTCACTTCTCTATACTAATTTTATTTTCTCTCCATTTTCAAGGTAATACATTGTACTATTTCCAGTCCTAATTATAAGACTCAGTTGACTAATTTGAGGAGATTAAAGAACTTAGTTAAGTTAGTTATTTGTAATGAATATATGCTGTTTTTCCTAAAATATCCTTGCTAATCAATTTTGTTATCTAGAATTATTATTATTAGAAGGATTATCTTGGGGAAAAAAAAGATAAATATGAGAGAAAATATATTGGAGTCTTATATTTATGACCAAAATAAAAGTCAAACAAGGTCTTATACCGGAGATAGTATCTAGTTACTTTTCCAATAATAAAGAATCAAAATTGTAAAGCATTGCAATCAAACCTAAATTTAGATAAACTGAGCTATCAACATTGAGTTCGATATGACCAGGGGAAAGAAGTTTCAAACAAAAAGGCATGTTTGAAACCCCCCCCCCCCAAAAAAAAAGGCAGGTGTGAATGAAAATGTGTTAATTACAAAATATAAAATTTATAGGAAATTTAACAAGTCAGAAGCATTGCAATTTTATTTATTTATTTATTATGTGAAACACAACTTATGATGATTGCAAAAACTAGTCTTCCTTAGGTATTGTGGACAAAGAGCAAGCCTTTCTTAACTAAGTTAATTGCTCTATATACATAAGGATTGTGATTTAAACCTCGATCAACTATTAATGCTAGCTTAAGTTGGTAATGCCATTTATTTTTAGGTTTCATATGATGCACAAATTTCATCTAAATTCTTAAAATAATAAAAAGATTTGCCATCTTTTACATTTTTAAACTTATCTAAGCTTTCTATTTTTTGAAATGGAAACCCCTTGAATCATATATTCCCTTCTCATTTTCTTCAAATTCTTTTCACTTCTATTATCATATATCGTATCAAACTTAAGCTGCCTTCACTCGCTACTTTATGGAAAAAGCAAATAAGGAATTTTTGGGCTTTACAAGACAAAATTCTCATAATATACTCTTCCGGTCCTAAATATAAGACTCATTATGGTGCACTACAAAATCACTTAAAGTAAGCTGAATCAGACACTCACTTATGAGAATTAAAATAGGATATTCATGACTAAATGAAATAACCCAGATCTTGTCCTTGCTTAATTAAACAATGTGTTTCCTTTGTTATTAGAGGGGTAGTACAGCTTTTGGTGGTAGAGATTCTTGGATAAGGTAAGCTTTTCTTTTATTAAAAAAAATCTGAGGCAAAAAGAAAATGAGAGGATATTAGGTGTTGGAAAGGGAATATCCTGAAAAGATAAATTAGGTTGTTTCTAGTTTATACAAGGCCAGATGGGTGGATAGAAGTAGGACAAACACACCCAGAATGAGTTTGGTAGGGAAGCTTGTTTCTATTATTAGAGAACTTTAGATTTAGAATCCTCATGTGATTCAAACGGGACCAAAGTGAGAGACGTGGTTTGGCTGCCACCTCAAAGTCCTATTGTTCAGTGTAAACTTTTTGCACTCCAATAGCATTAAAGAATCTTTTCAATTTTTTTTTGCATAAAATCGATTTTCCCTTTTTTTCCCCATCAAACAATGTGGCTTGCATCAGATCTCTAACCATTATGCATCTGTCTAGTAAAATAGTGAGTGACACAAGAAATTATGATTGTTTATGAGGTCCACATCTAATCATTACAATTAACTTTCTCTGTTTCTCTTCAAATATTTTTACATACAGTTCAAACATGAGGATGGTGGTTTGGAGGTGAAGATGGGAATATCAAATCATTCCTGAAATGTCAAAGTTCAAATGGGATTCATTATACATAAGGATGGTGAGATTAATAGAGACGTTTCTCATATAATGCAAGTTAAGTAGTTAAAGTGGAGCAAGGCTACTATAGTTATTTGCGATAAGAAGGTACCTGAGAAGCTCAAGAAAAATTTTATCGGACTGCTATAAGACCAATTGTGTTGTATGGTAATAAATGTTGGGCGATAAAGGAAAAAGAAGAGCATAAAGGTGGGGTAAAGAATAAGGATGTTGAGATGGATCTCTAGTTATATAAGAAAAGATAATATTTGAAATGAAAATTTTAGAGCAAGAATAGGCATGACGCTATCAAAGAGAAAATGGTTGAATATCACTTGAGGTGGTTTGAGCATGTGCAGAGAAGGCCATTGGAGGCGCTGGTAAGAAGGGGAGATTAGATAGTTTAGAGTCCTATAAAAAGGGGTAGAGGAAGACCGATGAGAATGCTCAATAAAGTCATTGGACAAGACTTTCTGGTCAACAACATATCTGAATATTTGATTGTTGATAGAGCTCAGTGACGTTATTCAATCCATGTAGTCGACCCCACCTAGTGAGATAAGGCTTAATGTTGTTGTATCTTTCTCTGTATCTCTTCAAATATTTTTATATACAGTGCAAACAAAATTTAATACATTAGGAGGGTTTGAATCTTTGATTTCTATTTACTCTTCCTTCTACTCTTATCATTTGAGATCGTCTAAGACAGCTTAAAATGTGAGAGAGAGAAAATTTGCATGGTCCAACTTAAATTAAACAAAATGAATTATTAATGAAGAAAAGAAATTGCTAGTTTTCAGAAATCTCGTTTGCTTGATCGTTTCTGTTGTACTGTTTAGAGAGAAGATGACCTGATCTTTTTCTTCAGTTCATTTATGATTGTGCCCTGTGTAATCCTCCAGGGTTTTATGTGACAGTTCTCAGATCCAACCACCGCGGGTTGGGGTTGGGGGGGGGGGGGGCAAAGAAACCATGTTTGAGAACTAGAGATTATCTTATTAATTTGTTAACTTCCATAAGTATTAATGATAACTTCCTCAGCCAATAGATCTTGAATATTGGGGATTCCTATAAGCAAAGATTTTTAACTCCAAATTGTAAAAGAATGAATAAGTTGACTTTGGAGCAACCAGAAAAGAGGATCAGAAAAATTCAATTGATTGATAGAAAAGCATGCATTCAAATTGACAAACTAAGTACAACCTTTGAATAAACATGAATCAAACCCATTTTCCTTTTCTTTACACACAGGCAAGGGATATGAATGAAAACTAGTTCCCTGACCACTCTCAAGACTGGAGATCAAAAGCATGCAAACAGAGCTTTCAATCTTGTACAAGATAAATTTATGCTGAAAGAAAGAGCAAATAAGTTAAAAATTAAGAAGCACTTTCACCTGAAAAAACCAAAATGCATACTACTGCTGAAAACTAGTAACGTTTCCCAAGAATTATGCCCAGAATCACTGATACAAGAGCTATTCCCAAGATAAGCTGGATGTTCATCGTTGCAGGCGAAGCCTGGCTAGTTGACACATGAGTCTCTGTTGAAGAGGGAGTTTGAGAAGATGCTGCATCTGACTTTTTCTTGCTCTTTCTTTTAGATGGAGTGGAGATGCTTGATCCAATATCCCTGGATTTGACTTCTGAACCACCTTCGGCGCTCTGGAATATCAATTGAAATGTTTAAAAATCTATCCATTTTTCTAGTAGACAAAAGAGTATTGCATTGAGTGTAGATGTTGGGGTACAAAATCATTTGCTACCCTTTACCAAGAAATACAAATTTTTACATCATCATCAAGCCAGATTGCCAAATAGGCTTGAACATTAAGGTAAGCGGTAGAAACATGCATGAGTAAATCAGTGAGTGGCCTTTAGCTAAGAGACTATGGAAGGTAGTTTGAACATGTTTGTGTGCAGACAATAGGTAAATGATGTTAGAAATCAATTTCGGACTAATACTAGTAATCATATATTTTCAATATGAACAGCTTAGGAAATGATCTGTGCATATCGTTAATCCATAACAGTTGAAAGTGAAGATTAACTTACAGACAAAACATACTGCTCAGAACAGTGGTGGTTCTTAGGTCCTATAGATCATTTTCATTTACGTTTTTGCGTTGGCATTGAAATTATAGTTAACCTTGTTAGCTTCGATTAAAAAGAAAAATATCATGTCTAGGAAGAATTGGGAATGTTATGCTCAGGGTACTTCTCACCAACTTATTTTCCCCTACAGCTCTATGTGTTCAGGCACTAACGCATGCCATGAGGATGTGCCTTGGGGGTTTTTAGAAGGGGAATTACCTTGTCAGAGAATTTACTTCCAGCCTGCTGCAATTTCTGCTCCAGCTCTTCCTTTTGCTTCTGTAGAAGAGAAATTTCCTTGGCCTTTGCTTCAAGTTGTTCATGAGCAGTTTTCATGGCTGCTTCACGTTCCAGCTCTTTCTGAGACCCAGATTCTTTCTGCTTAGTTGTAAATTTTTATTAGAAAAATGGCAATAAACATCTCAAAAAATCACTTCTTTATCTTAGATATCAATCTCTGAAAACTAGGACAAATTTTTGAAGCAAAATACGTATTGCCTGCATGCAGAAGATGCTTACACCAAATACAAAATTTAGACCCTGAGGAATAAATTGAGTTTACTCATGAAGAACTCTAGGAGTACCTCTTCTTTCAGGAAAGATTCAGCTTTTACTAATTGCCCTTCAATTTCCTTCAGACGATTTTGCAACACAGGTTTCTCAGCAGCCTCAGTCATGAGATTTTCAACCTGGGATCTCAATGCATCTTCTTTCTCCTTTTGTTCTTTCAACTTCTCTTCAAGCTCCACTATCTGAGACTGTAGTTCCTTCTTTAAATTTTGATTTGTCTCATTGAGTAGGCTATTCTCCTCAGTCACTGAAGACACCTGCAAGTTGATGTCATTTTCATTTAGAGATTGTTTGTTCGTTCCTATCCTTGTTTTCACAAAAATAAAATAATAAAATGTGATCACAAATAACAACAAGAGCAGAAAGGACAAACAGAAGAAAATTATTATTAATAGCCAAATCTGAACCTGGGACTGCAGTGCCTGCAATTCAGAAGTATGCTTTCCTGTTAAATCTTCAATGGCCTTCTTTGCAGTGAGAAGATCTTGAAATGTTCCATCCTTTTCAGCTAATGATTCAGAGAGCTTAGACTGTAAATCATTTAATTTGGATTCATAAACAGCTATTTCCTGATTAAGCTTTGAATTTTCCTCTGTCAGTCGTGAACCGTCTTTCTCATAATGGAGTGACTTGTTTTGCAGTTCCTCAACAACAGTTTCAAAATGCTTTAATTTTTGGAGACTCTCATCCAGCTCCATTTTATGCGTTTCAGATGTTGCAACAGCTTCCCGTGCTTGTTCTTTGTAAAAATTAATTTGGTCTTCTAGTGTATGTAACTTCTGATCCAAGTCACTGGCTTCAGATTCTTTCTCGGTATGCCTCAGCATAGCTTCTTGTAACTGTGACTGTACTTCTAAGATGCGAGATTCATGTACACTTTGAAGTTCAGAGAATTTTGCCTGTGAATCATTCAATTCTGCTAGAGTTTTCTTATGAGAAAGCAGCTCTTGAGCAGTGGCTTCCTTTTCCAATACAGCTGAGTTTAATAGCTCCTGAAGTTCATCAAGCCTGCTCTTTAACTGAACATTTGTTCCAACCAATAATTCATTCTCTGAAATGGCCTGAGAACACTTATCGTCGATATGTATAATTTGTCTCCTCAGATCTTCATTTTCGCTTTCAAAAGAAGCTAGTTTATTCAAACCACGTTCCAATTCATCCTGCAAAGAGGCTGATTTTTCAGCAGCTTCAACCGCTTGATCCTCCAAAATCTTAATTTTCTCAAGTAGGGATTGAACCTCGAAATCCTTGCTGCTAAATTTTGCTGTAGCTTCTTGGAGCCTAGTTTCTGAATCTCTGGCGATAGATTCATGTAACAGTTCAAGTTCCGAGTTTCTTACAGCAACCTTCTCTATATCTCTGCTTTTTACCTCAAGGTCTTCTTCAGAGACTCTAAGTCTCTCCATTATCTCACTTTCTCTTGATTCAGCTACCTTGAGGTCATTTTCAGTGCTTCGCAACTTATCTTGTGTGAGATTTAATTCATTCCTCACAATTTCTAGTAAGTTTTCTGCTTCAGCAAGCTTCTCGTTCAAACCATTTGACACATTTTCTAACCTTGTCTTCTCATCTGTCACTGCAGCCAAAGATTCTTCCAACTGCCTTTCCTTTTCACTAGCTGTCTGCACAGCTAACTCAAGACTTGAAGCTCGTGCTTGAAACGCCTCAAGTTCGGTTGTTAAATTGGAAACATTGTCGAGGTGGTTCTTTGCATCTGCCTCTGAGTTGCTACATTTTTGCTCCAGTGTGCTCATCTGTTGTTCAAGTTCTTGAATTCTGTATTTCTCTGCTTCAAGTAATAACTCCAACTCGTTTGCCTTTTTGTTAGCATCCTCAAATTTGGAATGGGATGTCTGATATAAATCTTCTAGTTCTCGACTACGTTGATGATTCATACTTACTCGATCCTCATGCTCAGTACATTTGTCCTTGGCAATCTTCAGCTCCTCCTCAAGCTGTGAACTCCGGAAAGATGATTGATTTAAGTCAGATTCCAATTGACTTACTTTTTCCAAGTAGTCCTGCAGTTGGGAACTAAGGAGATTCTTTTCTTGCTCAGCCTCTGTCAACTTAGCACTAAGCTGAGATATTTTCTCCAAAAATTCTGCCACTTCTTTCTCAGCACAACTGGTTTCCAGTTGTACTTGATTTATTTTTTGCTCAAGCTCCAAATTCTTCTGCTCTGCAGCTATGAAGCGTGCTTCCATCTCCCTCAGTTGTGATTTTGCCTCTTCTGCAGCTGAATTTGATGCCTGAATAAATTCCGCAAGCTCAACATTCTTTTGACTAGCAGTTGCTGCGGTAGTTTCAGACTCCCTATGCAGTTCTTCCAGAGACTTCAGCTTCTGCTCAAGCTCTGCATTATTTGAGAGCGTCTGAGACAAAAGAGAATCTACCCTACCAAAATTCTGCTCTGAAACCATTAGTTTTTCCTCCAGCTCAGTGCACAAATCTTTAAACTGCTTCACATTACTCGTTAAATCTGCCACAGTTGCTTCAAGACCATCTTTTTCAATATTTAGTTTAGCCACCTCTTCTTGTACAGCCACCGCCTTTTCTTCCTTGACCTTGAGTGCAGCTTCAACTGATTCCCTTGAATTCTCTTCCTCCTGCAGCTTTGCTTTTGTGTTTTCCAGCTCAGAAATCTTTTCTTGCAATTCTTCTTTAGTAGAGACAAGCAGATTTTGAAGTGTTGATGAATCTTCCCTCAACTGAGCTTCTGAAGTCTTTTTAAGGTTCAATTCCTGGGTCAGCTCATCTATAAGGGATTCCTTTGAAGAAAGGCTCTGCTCCAAGTCCAATAGCTGGGATTTTGAGAGTGTCAGCTCCTCTTGTACGGAAGAAAGTTCCGCTGCAGTAGTTTTCAGTGCTTCTTCAACCTTCTGATTTTCTGCAGTTTTATCGTACAGCCCCTTCAATTCTTCCTGCAGCGAAGTCATTTGATCTTCCATTTGTCTTGCACTCGCTTTGGCTTCTTCAAGAAGTTTTTCAAAGTCTATAGCCCTCTTTGCCTCAGATTCAGCATAAGAACCACTTTGCTTATGCAGCTCCTCAAATTTCCGTGCTTCATCCCCAGAAAGTTGCACTTCAAGTTGCAGTTCCTGCATCCTCTTTTTGGAGCTTTCAAGCTCAAGGCTCAAATTATCAAATGCCTCCTTGACTTGAATAAGATCTTTCTGCTTCAACTCTTGAGTTTGCAATGCCTCTTCCAGAGTTCTGAGCTGTACATTATATTTCTCCTCAGCTTCAATAATCTGTTCTTTCAGTTTCTTGTCACTCAATTCAAGCATCTCATATTTTTTCTCACTTTCCTCCAAATTTTCCTTCGTTGCTGCAATCTCACCCTTCAACTGAGCATTTTCATGTTCAGAGGTCTTCGCAGATTCTGCTAGTCTTTGTAGTTCAACCTCAAGTTCATGTATCTTCTCATGTGCTTCTAGTAATTCTCTGCTTGAATTATTTGAGCTCCTTTCATTGGCAGAGGGCTGCTCATCATCTGCGGTTGCTGTCTCAGCTGCATGCGAACCATCTTTTGCATCTATTGCTTCCTTCTCAACCTTTATGAATTCTCCATCTAAGGCATTCTCTTCCTCTTCTTTCTTTACTTCTTTCGTTACTTGAGAGAAGTCAATATCCTTTTCCTGATATAAATCGTCAGAAAATAGACACATGTAAATTACACCTTATGTTTGTAATTACTTTTCCCGTGACATGATTGAGTACAATAAACTGAATAGAATTACTCAACGTGTATTTTGGGTTTTTTTTTTTTTTTGGTGAGCATTTCTACTTGTTAAAAGCTTCATGTAGAATGGAAGGGAGGATAAAATGTCAGGTGGAATTTCACAATTCATTAACAAGCATATGTTAAAAGTTACAAGCATTTATTTTGAGCACTTCGGTTGTGGCTTGAGTTATTATACCAGTTACTCCTAAGGCAGCATGCAGTTTCACCAGCTACTTAGCTTAAATCAAATAAGTTGAGTGCCAGCGTAAGAATCTATGAAAAAAATATATGCAGTTGCAAATAACTGGCAATATGAGATTATGTGAATAGGCATATAAATTAGGATTAGTCTCCCGCATCTTTAAACCGCACACAAGGTATTGCAGTTGGCATGACTGGCAATTCTACAGGCGGTGGTAGGTGCGTTACCACTGAATTAAATGCTAAAGTGAAACCTTACAAACTTTTCTTCAGGTTCCTGCTTTCCACCCCAGTTAAGAGAGCTTTATACAATAGGCAATTTCTTTAATAACAAATGTACAATGATAATACCTTAATTTGGAAACTAGTTTTGACGAAAGGTTCATAATTGTTGTCACTCCATTACATGCCTGAATTTTGTGTAACAACTAACTTCTATACTAACGAATGAAATGAGGATAATACCTTAATGTCACCGGCATTGCTATCAGTCTCCACAACCTGTTTCACTGAAACTTCTGAAATGACTTGGGTCTCTTCTTCCATGTTTGCTTTCACTTATTAGCTTGCTTCTCTCTGAATAAAATAGATAACCAATATATTGTAAGAAAGAAAAGAAATAATTATAGCGTGGATATAATTGATTCAGAATCACTATAGACTATAAATGAAACAAAATAAAGAAAAGGCGAACTTGTCTAGATCAATAGGAAAAAGGGAGAGGGGAAAAGAAAATCCAGAATTTCAGCACAAAATCAATAACGTAACACTTGTCAAAAAATGCAGCAGAAATATTATTGTTGTTGTTGTTGTCATGAGGTACCAGGTCTTGGAATTTGGGAATCGGTAGAAAGTCAAGTAAATCAAGTCCTTATGATAAGTCGGTTTACAGAACAGGGAAAGACATTATTGCGGTGGTGTGTCCCTAAGTTGGAGATCAACACCACCCTGACACACTAATAATACGTGCCCAACGTGTGTGGCTATGTGTCAATATAATTTTTTTGGGGCTCCCTGTTGTTGGGCATGGCTTTGGCAATAGAATCTCCATCTTGGTAATATAATTAAATATCTTCTCTGATGTTTTCTAGTTGTACATGAATAATTTGAATTGTAAGTTTAAGATTTTCAATTTAAACTATTTTTTGCAGAAAATAATAGCGTAAGGTCCTCATTAGTAATAATTATAAGAGTAAAATATTCTAACCTTCTTTATATTTTATCTTAATTATATGGACCGCTCCTCTATCTTAAAAACATACATTTAAATCTAAACTGTTAACTCCATCAAGAATATACTAAAAAGCTGCTTTTTTAATTAAAATTTATGTTGCCATGCTTTCTATTTACTAATTTACCCTTCATAATACTAAATCCCTAAATTTTGGCTAAAACTATCTTAAGGAATTTAAGATTTTCTCCTTTACCTTAATTTTATTTTTTATTTTTGCAAATTGTTGTTTGTTTAATGTCTTTATCGTATTAGGCCGGAAAATTAAGTAAATTAGTTAATGTAGAAAAAAATTGAATAGAAATTTGATTAATTCTTTAAATAAATATATAATCGATCAAATTAAATCAGTTATAAATGTTTGCAATTTAAATTATAATTTAAATTTATATAATTTTCAACTCATATAATTTATATTATATTATGAAAAAATAAGCATTCAAAATATTTTGTAGCCATTTAAAAGAAACTTCACATGAAGAATTAAAATTTTATAATCCTATAATATAATAAAATTAAAAATTTTATAACACATTAAAAATTTTGAAAATACATGTATTATAATTATTTTTTGTTGTCTCAAAAATTATTTTTCATAGATATAAATGTTTAAATAAAGTTTACGTTAAAAGAGGAATATTTTGATCAAAATAAAAGTTTGAAGGTCAAATTTAGATCAATTGACAGTTGGATGGATGAAAATAAAATTTTAAAAGTATAAGAAAGGTTTGTGTAATATATTTTTAATTTTACAAGAAGTTTATATACATTTTTAAAAATAGAGAGGAGGTTTCTGTAATTTAAATAAAATAAAAAGATAACCAATGTATTTTACTCTAATTATAAATAGCAACTCACAGTTGGGTAGTGGGAAACAACTGCATCACAGCAACAGTACAAATTTCACAAAATAATTCACAGCTTTTCAGACAACCTAAGTCTAAAGACATAAAATTACCATTAATTAAAAATGGTTTCTTTGCTCCACACACAGACAAAGCATCAGCAGCCTTCCTAACGGGGCAGCATATGTGAAAAATAGTGATTGGCTATTCTGGGTTCGTAATTAAAACTCATCTTGCCAGTTCGAAGTGAGAACAAATGCAGACACAGTATTGTATACATTAAAAAAAAAAAAACAAATTCAGATACAGTGCAATAAAGGGGGAAAAAAGAAATATTCCCTGATATCTATCAAGTTTTATATACATATTAAAATAGACGTATTATATTGTCTATACTTCCAAAAAGATATATTCAAATACTGATCTCCCTTAGGCCCAAAAAAAAAAAAACAGTACTGATCTCCCACGTGAAGATGTCATGTGGAATAATCACGTTCGTGGGTCCTGTAACTTGTTACATCTTGATCTTACACATAAGCCAATTCTCCCGGATTTGGATCCCAGGCTCTCAAGACTCAAGCGATCTCAGTTGAGAGTTATTAACCATCAGATGGTGAGCTAATGGAATTGAGTGAGAATTGAAAAAGGTCTTCATTTCAAACATCATTAGATTGGAATCAGATAGTTAGTACTCTTCGCCGGAGGCTCGCAACTGTGGGGAACCAAATCCCTTCTCTCCCCGCCCACGCCAATGCCTTTCTTTCTTTTAAAGTTTTGGGCCTATTTACCTAACCCTGTTACTTTCTCCAAAATGGAATCTATCATTTCGTCTTCTTAATGGAAGGAAATTGCATCTGAACCTTCAAATCGGTGATGGGAGGGGGCCCCGCATAAGATCTAATATTCAAAGATGCAAATGAGTTGCCTAAGAATGTGCCCAAATAAGCTTAATCACCACTGACTTAATAGTGATGTCTGGGTGGGCCCACTTTTTTGATTGTTAGCCACTCCACCAACCCTTTTCTTTTTAAACTTTGCATCATATTTCGCAAAGTTCAAAAGCGTGTGTATTGTGGGGTGTGGACACCGGACAGCTTAGCTTAATCATCTGCGCCCCTCTCACAGCTGCACCAATTGTCTTTACACTTTGCATATTTATTTTATTTTAAGAAATTAGTTATTTATTTATTTTTTTAATTGCTCGATTCCTCATCCTCAATAAAGGGCAAAATCCAATCAACGACATGAGGGTGATTTGACAAAAAGCGCAGGGGTAAATACGAATTTTCAGGATGGGAATTACACCGGGTTAGGCTGGCTCAGAGAATATCTCTATTATTTTCCCTGCTCTCGAGTTTATTTTTCTACCCTCACTTTTGGAAACTGCTCTGCCAACATATACTAATCTCTATATATTCTAATAATAAACGTTAATCTAATGAGATCTGAGCATGTAACGGGATTGATGTGAAAAAAAAAAAAATGGTATGTAACGGGGTTTATTAAATAAAATCAGCAACAACGGACACCATAAAAGACAATAAAGAATTGAATTAAAAACTTATCTGTGATTTGTTTCTTGTTCCATGAATATTTACACGATAAACGGCTGAAAATTTGCGAGATAACGAATCTCCGATCAGGGGAAGACTCTGCAATCCTGATCGGAGCTGCAAATCAAGGAAAATTCAAATTGGCCTTTTACTTTTTCAACTTCCTTTCCCTTTTCTGCTTTAAAATTTTAAAATCATTTCGAATAGTGAAAGAAAATTGATCGAAAATGAAACTTCACCTAACCCATTGATCAACCAAAATTAGGGGGGGAAAAAAGACGATCACAGATCAAAACAATGAAGATGGAATAATCACTGATCATAGAGAAATATTAGTGAAAGAATCACAATGTGCTGGGCACAGCAGAAGCTACTGGGCTACTGAGACGAACATATACACTCAAGAAATTGATAGCAATAAGATTCAAATCAAGCCTTAAAAGATCAACAGTTTAATACGCAAATCAAAATCTGCGAAAACGGAAACAGCATCAGAGATCAAACACTGAAGAAGGACCAATTTCTGATCAAAGAGAAGCAAAATGAAACGGCTGCTGTGCACAGAATAAGCCGCAGAATCACTCTCTAACAACCATAAGCAGAGAGGAAATCAAAAGCAAGAAGATTCAAAATAAGCCTTCAAAGATCAACACTCAAAACACAGCTCAAAAAACATGAAGAATCAAAACAGCACACAGAACTTTCAATCAGGATTCATCTGACAAACAGAAAATCGATAAAGGTAGTAAAAACCAAAAACGCAGCTCCAAAGCTGCTCGGCGGCTATAAATAATGAGCAGCAAAAGCGAAAATTGAAATTAAAGGAAAGAGGAAGTGAATTCTTGCCTGAGAGAAAGTGAAATTACTTTTGATTGAAGCAAGCGTGCTGGTCTCTGAGAAAATATATATATAAATTGAGATGTGAGAAACTGGGATTGGAACGAAGGAAGAAGAAGAATGAATATGCCAATATGGAATGGAAGCAGAGAGAAAGAGAGACAGAGAGATTCCTTTGTATATATGACTTGTAAGACAATGGAGAAAGGAGAGAGTGGAGGAGTCTACCTTTTAACGCATGGAGACCCCACCGGTGGGGCCCTGCGCCACCCATATTCGGCGATTGAAGAGCTGAAACGCTGCCGGTTTGCTCTCCCTCGGAAATTGTCCCGGGTTTTGCATTTATTTACAAAATTGGTATAGGAGTTTTCTTTGGTCAAAGCTAATGACAAATCCTGCATCATAAATATAATAGCCCTTTGGACGAGATAAATTATTAAGAAATGCCGTTGAATTTTAATGAGTTTGATTTTCTTAAATGATAAAAATTTACAAAAAAAATATTTTTATTTTTTTAAAAATTATTATTTATAGTAGGGGTGTTCAACATTGACCCGTGCCGGTCCCGTTTTTATTGGGACAGGATGGACTCGTCCCAAAATTTTTAAGAACAGAACAAACCAAGACAGGACGGACTCGTCCCAAAATTTTTCAGAACGGGAAACTGAGACGGGACAAAAAAAAAACTAGGACAGGACGGGACACAGGACAGGGTCGGCCGTCCCGATTCCTTTTATTTTTTTTATTTTTTTATCATATTTACATAATATCATTTTTTTTATTTTTTTTTTAAGATTTGATACTATTGTATGAAACTATGAACCCATTTATTTAGAGCTTTTATATTTGTTGATGATTTGAGGCTATTGATGATTAGAATTTTCAACAAGCTTTTATTGTGTTCAAAACTTTTATTTAGAGTTTTTAATAACTATTATATGTAATATTTTGAGTTTTTGTTTAAGGGTACCTAAAGAAAGAAAAAAGAAAACAAAAAGATGTTTTTATGAGAGTTAAGTCCAAAAACTACAATTAGAAAAAAAAATTAGATTTTATTGTGCCTAAAAACTCAAAAAAAATATATATCTAGACGTCCTATTCCCGTCCCGGTTCCGTCCCGTCTTAATCGGGACCGAGACAATACTGGGACGAGACGGAACACGGGACAATTTTGTTGTCCCATTATTGTTCATCAGGACGGAACCAGGACAGGCCTGTCCTAGTCCTGGTTTCAATCCCAATCTGTCCTAAGAACAATCCTAATTTATAGGAAGGAGCGTAAATGAGTAATGAGTAAAACAAAAACTTGCAAGAAATAATTAATATAGTGATATAACATGCCATTTATTGAAGAGTACATGTATGTTTCCGATCTCATCGATGTTGTCCTCAATTTCGCACTTAATTTACAACAATGGTGTTATTCTAATTCTTGTTATATGTTACTTGCCGAAAAATCATTTTGTCTTAAATACAAGTCACCTGTAAGGTATTTGATTATTATTTTTTAATTTTATTCTTAGTTAATTCTTACTGAAAAGAGATAAAGATGAGACAATATATGATAAAAAATTTTTAATGAGAATAAACTTGAAAAATTTTATCAATTGAATGAATTTCTTAGCATATGAGAATGAATTATAAGTAATTTATAATCAAAACAGAAATTATAGTATTTTTTTTCTTTGGCCAAAGCTATTGACACATCTCGCATAAAAAATCATAAGTATAATAGCCCTTTGGACAAGAGAAATTAAGAAATGAGTCTAAATTTTAGTGAGTTTGATTTTTCTGGAGGTAATAAACATATTAAAAATATATTTTATTTTGTTACAAAATACTACTCCTCCGGTCCTTAATATAAGACCCATTTAACTAATTTGATTAGATTAAGGAAGTTAGGTAAGTTAGTTAATTATAAGAAATATGATGCATTTTTCCTAAAACACCACAATCATCTTTCTTAATACCTCATTTCCCTCTTTTACTTGATTATGGTTGAGAGAGTATCTATAGGGGTAATTAGAGAAAATTGATAAATATGATAGATGGGTCTTATATTTAGGACCAAAACCAACTCAAAAATTGAGTCCTATATTAAGGATCGGAGGAGTATTATTTATAAAGGAAGAAAGTGAATGAGTAAGGCAAAAATATGTGTAGAAGATAATTAATTCAGTAATATAACATGTAATTAACGGGAGAAAAATTAAAAAAAGTTTGTTAAGATTTCATAACTCCTTTAAGAAAACTAATTAAAAATTTTTAATCTTACATTTTTTAGAATTTCATCCATCCTTAGTTATTGATTTTTTAAAAACCAACTCATTAAAATTTTTCTTCTCGCACCCTCCCTTCTATTCCCATAAAACCAAATAGAGGGTTAAGATCATGGCAAAAAGAAAAAACCAGAGGGCATAGGATAGGGCAAAATGCAAATTAATGCAAAACATTCTTAGCTTTGTTCAAATAACATGAAAAACTTTCTATTGTTTAGAAAACTAGACATATTCTAGTGAAGCTATTATTATAGTCTAATAGATTATAAACAAAGTGGCATGCTATGGGTTATGTATTTTATATTGCTGATGATATTATCATTTTACTAACTTTTATATGTTATTTGGCAGAGTTCCCAAAAAAAAAGTATGAACAATTTGTTAACATTTTTGGCCAAAAAAAAAAATAACATTTGAAAGAAAACAAAAGAATTAAACGATGATTGTAATAAATAAAGTGGACGATGTTAGATGGGGAAGATTAAATAAATAATATATATAAATATATAATACATCTTATACTTACCACATGCACAACTCTGCTCAAGATTGGATCCTCTATTGTTTACACCTATATTTTTTTTTTTATTAGCATAAAAGTAAACCTGCATATGGTGAGAGTAAAAGGAAACTCATCCCAACTAGGTTTCTACATACGTAGACAATTAGAGCCTTTACATCTACACGCCACATATTTGGATATTTTTATAAAGAAAATATTTTATGCCATTTACATTTCGTATTCTATTTCAAAAAAAAAAATTAAGTATTGAATGTTTGAAAACAAAATTATATGAACAATTTAAATCTGATGTGTATTACAATATTTATTACTAACTTCGATCACATTTACAAAATTTTATTTGTACAGTATAAATAAAGTCTTATAGTTAGGACCGGAGGTAGTATATATGTGTCAATTCTTTCCGTATATATTCCTGAGTTAATTGTCCTTTTCATTTCACATAAGGAAGCATTTATCTTTATATATATTTTTTTATTTTTGATATAAAAGTTGGCTGGGATTGAATTTCGTTTTAAATATAACATTTTAATTCATTTTGTTTCTCATATTTATTAATCTTCTTCTTAATATTAATCATGTCACATATATTATATTATAATTAATAATTTATTTAAATTAATTAAATAAAGAAACCCGGACTACCGGAGAGTATATATGTGCTTTTTGCCTGAAAATTACTGTGTGAGCGCAAGAACGTTACGCATCTTGTAACTCCTTCATCGTGAACTTCTTTAATTCAAAGGAAGAATTATTTTAATGTCTTAGAAAATAATTATTAAAAATTCCCAATAATAAATAAAAAGTTATCATTTTCTGCATTATAATTTATTAATTCATGATGCTTTGCTGTGATTAAAATTTTTTTAATAATTATATTCCTTCAATTCTCCTAAATTTAAATAAAAAGCTCATGCACATATATAATTCTTATATTTAATTTTGTTTAAATAATTGACCCAAAAAGTAGTTCGATCAAAAATAACATCTTTTAATAGGGAGGGCGGCATGAAGCGAACACCTCTCTGGCAAGAGACCAACGATGTGTGATTGTGAATGCTCATAAAGTCTGAAAATGAGTTGGATTACTTAATACTTAATTGAAGGATATGAAAAAAAATTCAAAATATTCATCTATAAATTTTTTAAGATAAAACTTTAAATTATATTTTGTTTAGTTAACATTATGAGTTTATTTTAAATATACAATCATATATTAATTTATAATTCAAAAACATAACATTGTTTTAATATCACAATGAAGCTCCTTAGTTAACTTATTCAGAATTTTCCATATAAATTCAATAATATTATAGTGTTAAATGCATAAAAAAATCAAAATACTAGATGTATTGTAAATAAGATCAAAGTTGTTTTAGATTCTATTTTACCCAATATACAAGCACATAATAATTTATAATTTAAAAACATAATATTGTTTTAATATCACAACGAAAGCTTATTAGTTGACTTATTTAGAATTTCCGATGCAAAATGTAAAAAAAAAAAAAATCAGTATGATTCTCAAAACAAAAATGAATTATGATATGGTCAAAAGTCAAAACACTTCAGAAGCAAAACAGCAACTTGTGTAATTCAAGAAAAAGTGGGGGATAGAATGGTCATTTGAGGGAGACGGGAGAAAATATTGAATGCTTTTTGGTATCACTGGGACGGGCAGATATGCGACCGACAAAACCGCCCTTCGCGAGACGTGCAAACAAAAAATGACGACGGCATCCCCTTTCTTCAAACAGATACGACACTTTTCTTTTTAGACCTCTTTGCATTCTATTTGTATCTTTTACTAAATATTCAACCACATTCATTATTATTATTATACCATAGATTAAAATAATTATTTTATTTAGTTATTTATAATAAATAAGTATTACTTTTTCTAAGATATTTTATTTAATAAAATCTTTAACTTATACAACTACTACAAAGACGGTTTATTATCTTGAAGAAAAATAGATAAATAACTTATATTTAAAATTAAATTGAATGTTAAATTATATATATTAAGTACCAGTAGTATATGAATGTATGTAAAAAAATGCAATGGACGTATTTAAAAGTGATAGAAAAAAAATTGGATGTGTAGGGATAATATGATTGTGAGATGTGTGGAATCTATTCATAGCCATATTCATATTATTTTATGTTATACTCTTTCTAAATGCATGAATGTATGAGTGGAGATAATCCAATTTGAAAGTTAGATGAGGAAAAAAGGCGTGGAATTCTTCTAAAACATATATCTTTATCTAAATCCCATAACAAATTCCCAGAAGAATCATAATCCATTATTCAAATAATGATGATTCTCACTAACGGGGTTAGATCTAGCGAAAAGGGCTAGTCTCCCACAACGTGATAAACCAAGATTTGAATCTCCACTGAGAGAGATGTCCACATTTAGTACCCGACAGTGCCTCGAATAGGATTGCCTCCAATAGGAGGATATCTATGTTTTAGCCAAAAAAAAACGATGATGATTCTCCATAGAGATAGAGGGTAAGCCTTTTTTTTTTAAAAAAAATGAGGAATTGTGATTTTTATCTCAACAATATTTTGAATCAATTTCTCATCATACTTGCATCATTTATAAGGTAGGAAGAAGTTTTCCCCCTCTTAATTTTGTTATTCAACCACTCAATTCAAGTGAAAACTCCTATTCCATGATAAAAGAACGGCTAAATTATACAAAATTTCTTGGATTTTAAGTTAGTTTCATATAACTCTGACATTTCAAAGTTTAAATTTAAACCTACTAACTTTTTTTTAATATTTTTTTATCATGGACTCCTTGCCTTTAAGTGACCATTATTATTATTATTATTATTATTATTATTATTATTATTATTATTATTATTATTATTATTATTATTATTATTATTATTATTATTATTATTATTATTATTTTGCAAAAAATACCATGCTAGGTTAATAGAACTCACATGGCAACCTACATGAATCCTATGTAAGTTAATAATTTTATATAAAACCTTCATAAATTCTGAGTTAGTTGCATAAAACCACCTGAACTTGCATAAAACCACCTGAACTCAAGAATATTAAACATAAATTTTGAAGTGTCAAGAAGGCTATATGTAACGGGTTTAAAATCTAGGATGTTTTTATCAAATGAATGACTTACATAGGATGTCACGTGTTTTTCTATTGATTTGATGTGGTAATTTCCGTTAAAAAATTATTAATAACTTAACAACAAGAGTTCATGGTAAAAAAAAAAAAAAAGGGTTAGGAAGTTAAATTTAAAGGTTAAAATGTCTGAAAAGATATGTACAATTGACACAAAACTTAGAAGGTTTTGTGTAATTTAGCATAAAAGAATTCATTAGCATCTTGTAAAACTACTTACAATTTTTAAGGATAACATCAACTGAATATATAAAAATTAAAAAAATATATTTCAATTCAGCTAGAATAAAAGGCTGTTAAAAATAATTAAACATATACTTTTCATAAAATAAATCAATTATTTTTTTTGATATAACAAAAATAAAATATAATGAAATTTATGGTCAATACAGCTTCAAAATAAGTTGAGCAAGCAGGCAATTGGGTTGTACCCTCAAATTCAATCAAGGAATGGAATGTTGTTGAAGCCATCTATCTTCTTGTTCTTTTTTTCAGAAATCTATTTTTTTTAAAAATTATAATTATTTCATTTCGCACTAATTCGTGGGCTCGGCGACTCATGCCAATCTAACATTAAAAAATCCAACATTTTAAAAAAAAAAAATTGGCAGATTAGCTGATGTTATTTGGTTTTTGGTGGTGATCAAAATTTAATGGTTAATCCTATCTTGCTCATGATTAATCATATTTCTTCTTTGTATTTTCTCCGGCTAATTTACAAGTTACTTTCAACATATTTTTTTATCAAAACCAAAAAAACAGTTAATACTCATTAATTATATCTAAAAATTAAAAAAATTATACTATGCCCATATTTTAAATACCTCCCGAAAAAGCTTCCTATTTTTCTATGTTAATATTGAATATGGGTAATGTTAAAAAAAAAAAAAAAGTAATCAATTCGACGACTTATATATAAAATAGATCACCAAAACTCTTCAAATGTCCTGTAAATAGCATCAAAGAGACTAAGAGAGTATATCACTAGTGTTTGATGTCTAAAACGTGAAGAACTAGGTCGGTTCCCCCCCACTGAGGATATAGAACATCCAGAGAGTGAGAATATGGAATTTTTGTGGCTGCAAATTATGTTTCATTTATGAAATTGGCACTAAATAATGAAGGATCCCTCTTAGTTTTGGTAATATTTATAAATATATTAATTTGTTATATTTGCTGGATGACACTATAGAATTGAATGTTACAAAAGGATTCTTAATGTTACTCATTGCTTAGTTAATCCATTTCTTTTAACATATAACCAATTTTGTCACCCATCTAATTCTTAATATAAGAGCTTGATAATTAATTTATAAAGATTAAAAAAATTAGTTATTTATAATATGTGTGTATTAATTTTTTTAAAACACTCTCTTTAATCATATGCATTATGATAACTATCCAATTTGATGAAAACACCTGCATTACATTTAGGATGTAATGACCAGAGGAGCATAAATGTATACTTTTTAATAATATTATGAGCAATAAATATTTTAACAGAAAAAAAAAACCTTTAACTGCATATGGTCTTCTTAGCTACATAATGAAAAATTATTAATTAGGTCAAGTAAAAAGGGATTCAATAAAATATCTACTAAGAAATAATACGATAAATTTAAAATTTGTGGTTAAAAATTATACTAAAATTCCTACCTTCATTCCAACTGTATAATATAAATTCGATGAATACTAGATAGCAATAAGAAAACTGAAATTATTTAACTAAATTATCCTTGGGTAAAATATATTTATTTCTACTCGCAATAATTAGGTTGAGTGAAAAGGGGCATGATGATAATTTAGTAAATTTGTGAGTTTAAACCTTATAAATAGAAAATAATAGCTACTTTCACCAGCATGTATCATTACTCAAATTTCACCTGATAATATCAGATAGTAGTATTAAATAATTACATAAAATTGATAAATACTTTAAATAGCCATGAAAAAGGAAAAAAAGAAAAATAATTTCGCAGAAAGCTTTCATGTCTTCCATGCAATAATTTCGCAGAAAGTAATCTGGGTTGGGCATCAGTCAGGGTCATATACAGTCAAGGAGGGATTCAAATGCTATTTGCATTCTTCAATAGAGTTTTTTGAACTTCTGAGCCTCTTTGAAAATTTCTTTGGTCTTTATTCTTACCTTACAAATGTTTGTTGTTCGTGTAGAAATTATTGCATAGAGCACTACTTGTTGTTCATTTACTGCCTCCCATCGTTAATATAAAAGCTAGTTGACTAATTTGAGTATATTAAGAAAATTAGTTAAATTAGTTATTTGTAATAAATAGATGTTATTTTTTATAAAATATCTTTACTAATCGAGTATATTGGTTAGAAATATCATTGTTACAATGATTATTTTGAAAAAAAAAAGTGGATAAATATGATAAATAAAGTAGATTGAGATATTATATTTAGGACAAAAATAAAAGTCAAACAGAATCTCATATTAAAGACCGGAGGTAGTACTTTGTGACCACTATCTAAATATTACGGGTCAATGTCCTTTTGGATGTCCAATTGATGAAACCCTGGTTCATTTGATGTTTGCGTGCTCTTACTCTAGAGCTATCTGGCTTGGTTGTTTTTCAATTAGACCACCTGATCTACCAAGCCTTCAACTTTTGCAATGGCTGAAGGATTTCTTGTTTCATCTTTAACTCTAGTGATCAGATAGATACACCAAAGGGTATTATTGTCCTACGGCGCAAGAGGAAGCTGGTAATCCACGAAAGAAAGGACACTTCACCACAACTGGTTATTCAAGAAATTTTTGGAGCACTTTCATTCTCCTATATGGCTTTTGCTAACTCACATCTGTCTTCGTCCTTGCAACCCTCCTCTTCAAGACTCAAATCCTCTGGCAATGGACATGAGTGGTTAATAGTGATATACAAGAAACGTCAGGCTGGAAGTGTCCTTTGTCATGCCCTTACTTGTCATAATTACTACCTCACTGTTCTAATTATAAGATCTCGTTTGTAGACTACAAACCAGGTTTTATAATTAGGATGAGATAGTATTATCCAATGCAAATTTCATTCCCAACTGTGAGCATTATTAAATTGAATATGTAACTTAGCAAACACCGCAAATTGTTGGCATCCAACCTTTATCATTTGATCCAATGGCTACTTTACGGTTGTTCCCCATGTTATCCTTGAAGATGTTAGTTTCTTTCTAGGTTCTTTTGCTTCTTTCTCATGTAGGATAGCATATGTTAGTTAGTTTAAGAGGTTTAGAGATGTTTTTATTTTTCCTCAGTTTATTGGGACCTTGTAGATGTTGTCATTCCTTTTTAATATTACCTCCGGTTCTAACTATAAGAATTAGATGACTAATTTAAATAGATTAAGGAAATAAATTAAGTTAGTTATTTGTCATAAATAGGTGTTATATTTCTTAAAATATCTTTGTTAATTAAGTGTGACTAGAACTATCATTATTAGAAAACATTTAAAAAAAATAAAATAAATTGGGATCTTATATTTATGATTAAAATAAAAGTCAAACTACCTTATATGAGGTGATATCATTTTTCCTTTTATTAAAAAAAAAAAAACATGCATGGCCCCACAGCTGAGCTCGGGGAAGAAAAAGAGCTGAGCTGCTGGCTAGTAAACAGGTAAACTGCAAGTTGCCGGTTAAGGCTACGAAACACAGCAACGTGCCAATAAAACAAGCTTATCGGTTTATCACGAAGCGAGAGACCCTGTAGAGAGAGAGAGAGAGAGAGAGAGAGAGATTGGGTCAAGAAGGGAAATCAAAAACCAGAAGAGATTAGAGAGAGAGAGTTGATGATATAAGAGATCGGAGAAATGGATGGAATGCAATTAGCTTTACCTATTGTTGGAATTGTAGCAGCCGCAGCTGTAACCTTTTACGCTGTAAGTTTTGCGGAGCTCCGAGAGGTAACCTGATTTAACCTATAATTCTCCCTCCCTCTGTCTCTCTGTCTCTATCTTTGTGCTGATTCGATTATTCATGAATTTAATTTATATCTAATTCTTGTTCGATGGAATCAGAAATCGTTCGGAGAGCTGGACGACTCAGAATATGAAGGAAATGGTGGCTTCAGGCCTTCTCCTAGTTCCAGAGAGAGGCGTGCCAGAAGAAAAGCTTCCAAAGGCAATGACTCTTAGTTACAACTTCGAGTTCGAATCTCCTCTCCCTATTTTGTAATTAACTCTTTTATTATTATTTCCATAATACCTGCTTGTTAATATGAGAACCAGAAATAATATCCACCAACTAGTTGACTAATTTGATTTTTTAATTATAATATATATTATATGATGTCTTTAAAATATTTATGTAGATTATTACATCATATATTAATTTATAAATAAGGTAAATTAGTTGGGAGAAAAATAATAAATATAACTAGTTTAAAGTAATTTAGTAACTTTTTTTAATTTTCTCAGATTAGTTAATTGAGTCTTATATTAAAAACGAAGATAGTATATAAGATGATTCTATGAGGCTCTTTGATTTTTGGTATAAAGTATAGTCTTGTTTGATTTTGATTATATACATACCATTTCTGCTCCTTAATATAAGAGCTAATTGATTAATTTGACTAATTAAAAAAGTTTGTTAAATTAGTTATTTATAATAAATAGGTATTATTTTCTCTAAAATACCATTACTAATCATATGTATTAGTTAGAACTATCATTTAATGGAATCTTTAACCCGTGTAATCACTACAAGGATTACTTTGAAAAAATTGAGTAAATATAAGATAAATTAAGTTAGACAAACTAGATTAGTTCCTTACATTTAAGATAAAAAAGAATGTCAAACTAGCTTTTATGTTAATGATTGGATGTAACATATAGTTATCTCATATTTTTATAGAAAATATTTTAATTTAATATTTTAAAGTTAAATTAAAAGTATATATTACCTTTGATCCTTAATATAAGACTCTATTTGATTTTTATTTTGGTCCTAAATATAAGACTGCAATCCACTTTGTCTCTCATATTTATGCATTTTTTCCAAGATAGTCCTTCTAACAATGGTAGTTCTAGCCAATACACTTGATTAGTAAGGATATTTTAGAAAAGACAATACTTATTTATTACAAATAACTAACTTAACTAAGTTCTTTAATCTTCTCAAATTAGTCAACTAAATCTTATAATTAGGACCGGAGGTAGTATTGATTTACAAAAAATTTATGTCATTATACTAAGGCTCTGTTTGGGTGCTCCTAAACCATAGTTTCAGAAGCACTTTTCCGCAAAACGAGGTAACCTCCTCCACATATTTACTTCGTAATCTGTAAAAACACTTCTGAAACCATGGTTTGGTTTTTATCCAAACACTCCCTAAGTTTTTTTAGGGTCAACTTCTATTACTTGATTATTTCTTTTGTGAAATTCACTTTGAGACAGTTACTCCAGTTTTCTGAAGAAAAGTAGTTATAGAACAGTTGAGGAGGATTTTTGGTTGTTCACTAGTATTTATTTTGGGAGCACATTTCGTGCTCATCGCATCGCAATAATCAGTGTAGGGTGATTTTTCATCCAAAACATTTTAAGGGGATGAGATGAGACAGCTCAAATTTGGGAGATCTTTGACTAATAATCTAAATGAAAGCATTGATGATTAATGCTGTTACGGTTTTATACATGCCAATCAGATATTCAATTGTAAATTTATGCCATAACGTTCAAATTAATCTAAATTTTCGTTGCTAAAAAAAATCTAAATTTTAGATTTGCAAAGCCTAATGTGCTGCAATTTCTCTCGTAATGGTGTCTTTAAATATACTTTTTCGGTCCTTAATATAAGACCCAATTGTTGAGTTAGTTTTGGTTCTAAATATAAGACTGTTTATGATATTTATCAATTTTATCTAAATTATCTCTATGGATACTCTTTCAACCATAATCAAGTAGAAAAGGAAGATGGGGTATTAAGAAAGATGATTATGGTATTTTAGGAAAAACGTGTTACATTTCTTATAATTAACTAATTTACCTAACTTTCTTAATCTAATCAAATTAGTTAAATTGGTCTTATATTAAAGACCGGAAAAGTAATAAACAATTTTTTTTGGTTCAAAATTTTAAACTAAGCTTTTCATTTTTATCTCCATTTACTACTTATCATTTCTTTGCAATAAATTTTTACTTATTATGTTTCATGTACTCTATTCACAAACAAGAGTATGATTGTAAAAAAATATATATTACATATTTATTATTTTTAACTAAATTAACATTTTAAATCATGTGATTTTAGTAGTTATTTCTGAACGCAAGGACTAAATTAAATTCCAGACCATGTTAATTAATAAACAAAGTAAGTTGCTATTTAATTTAACCACAAATTTTCCACTATAATAATAAATCATTCTTGTCTACCTAAAAATATGCTAAATACAATCTTCCAAAAGATTTAAAATTAAAATTGCTATTTATTCTGTGTAATCCCATGACAAACATATCTTTACACAGATAAAACACACAAAATTGACAAAAAAATCATACTACGTAAAAGCCGTTAAATAGTTCACAATCTAGTACTTCTAAAAATCCAAAAACTTTGATACAGTTTCTTCCTTTGTCAGCATACAAGCATCTGTACCATTTTTAACCCAACCCACCCTATCCTTTGTATTGTGCTATACTCAATAATAAACATATCTCTATACATTAAGCCGTTAAAGCCCTTGCCACTATTTTCATCATCATCAGCATCAGTAAAAATCCATTACTTACTCTGAGCCTTGAGTTCCCGCACCCTCTCCTCAGTCTTTTTCAGAGCTATCCCATAGATTCTGATTAACTGGGGGAAGAAATGGCCAATATCAGTATTCAAATAAGATCTTAGGTCTCGTTTGGTACGAAGCATTGAAAATGAGGGATGGGATTGAGATTATAATTAAAAAAAATCATTAAAATAATATTTAGCATGAGTAATTGCTTATTATATGAGATTAGGCAAACTCTTAGAGGTAAGATTGGAGAATATCACTTCCCCCCATGTTATTCTCCAATCCCATATATATGGGTTTGGCTAATCCCATATAACAAACAATTTCTTATACTAAATATTCTTTTAATAGATTTTCTTAATTATAATCCCAATCCCAATCTTTTATTTTTAATATTTCTTACCAAGCATAACCTTAGTCCTAAAGAATAATTGGACAAGAGCAGGTGGTGGATGGCACTTGAGGAAGTAAAAAAAAAAAAAGAAGAAAAAAAGAGCATAATAGAAGAGAAAAGTACATAACAGTGAATCATCATGGGGAGAAAATTATTAAAGCAACTTGTACGAGCTTGACTGAATATGGCCATTAGTCAGCAAGAACTCATCAAAATTGTACATTCAAGATGGTGAGATTCAATGGTACACTCATTTTAATGTCTTTACGGTCTAGAAGAGCATATACATTAGTTAAATTGTGTAAATTAGCTAGTTACAGTAAATTTATTTAGTTTCCCAGTGATTTAGAAATTTACAGACAGGCCAAATGAAGACAACTGAATATTTAAATGACTCAAGGTAAGGTTACCTCGTCAACTTCTTCTAGGCTGAGAGTAAACGGTGGACACATCATTATGTTATCCCCAGCTGCACGTACTAACATCCCATTCTTCTCACACTGTGCTCCAAAATAGGCACCTACCCCTGTGATAATTATTTAATCAAAACTGTCACAACAATGGAAAATAAACCCAAGTCCACAAAATGATGGTAACCTAACCTATTTCACATATTAGGATAATAATTTTCTGTCACCTCAACTAATAGGAAGGTGAATTATTCTTGTTATGCGTCACTGTCACAAAAGGTTTGGTTTTAAATGACCTTAGAGAAGACATTTTTGCTACTTTTAAATTTTAATTGATTTTATAGTCTATCCGTGCATAACAAAGTCATCTGTTCATATGATAAGAACCACGTTTCAGGAATTCCAAGTAAACATGCTTTTGCTTCAGGAATTAAACTAAATAATGGTTAAGTACATTATTGTATGGTTAACCACTGGCTTGGCATCATTGCTTGTCCAGTTAACATCCCTAAACTGTTGAAATTTTTTGCTAATGAATTCCTAAAGGGTAATTCCCCCTGGTATGTTAAGGGAAAGTATGGGAACCAAAGGGAAAATTGAACTTACCCCATTCTGGAGGGAAAGGATCATTGGGCGACTTGTTGTCAGTGAACTCGGTCCCCAGGACCAAACCAGTTCCACGAATCTGCAGAGTAGAGCTTTAGCGTTTACTATCAAGTTCTCCAATAAAATCATGACATGTTTTCTTATACAACCACAAGAACTACATATGATGTTTTTATCCGAGAATTTGATAGCACCAACTTAAAGTACTTTCAGTATAGACCACAAGCTGCTTAGCAAACAAGAGGTACCTCCCCAATGATTGGACTATCAGAGAAGGCTTTTACACCATCTTGGAAGCTGGGGGCAATGGTCCTCACATTCTCAACAATATTTCTCTCCCTGCAAAACATCAAGAAGAATAATAACAACAACCAGCAGCCTGAACAGTAATTAACATGATATGATATGCTTAAAGTTGTAGTCATTTATTCGAACATAATACTGTAAATCACAAATTTCGCTGCATATATTTGAAATTTACTATGACTATGGTAATGACCCAAGCTACATAGGAACACACTTGTAGATCTTTAGTGCTTCAATTGCAACAGCACACGATACTGGGTGTCCAGAGTAAGTAAAGCCGTGAGAAAAAGAACCTAAAATAAGAAAAATCAGGTTAGCAACAATTATCTCCACATGAAGATGTGGTCATAAATTTACCACCATACCAAGTTTGTTGCTTTGCGAGTGTATGACATCTGACACTTCTGGGCTCACAAGAACTGCACCAATTGGCATGTATGCAGAAGAAAGTGCCTGGAAGTCAAATACAAAAATGAAAAACATTAAGCTTCCTAAATTATGAGAGAGATAAATATGTGTTTGGATACTATTTCAAGTTTACCTTAGCTAATGACACCAGGTCTGGTTTAATGTTGTACTTATCAGATCCAAACATTGTCCCAAGCCTTCCAAAACCACAGATGACCTGCAAAAGAGAAATATGAAAGAAGCAAGTTCAGCAGTCAAATTTCCTCATTAACTCCAGTTTAAGAAGTATGGACAAATACAGCATAGTACCTCATCCGCAACGAAAAGAATGTCATACTTCTTTAGGACGGCTTGAATCTGCACAAGTAATAACAGGCTGAGAGAGATGTTTCTTGCCTGTAATATAATTTTGTGGTATTTAAAGGAAGGAGTTCTCAAGGGAGAGTGTGAAAACAATTATAATTATATTAATCCGATGCATGAATAATTGTTATCTAAGCCAGAATTCTGGGAAGTGCAAGACTATACAGCAATCGTGTCTATTGACTTTGAGATATAACTTGTACGTAGCTAGCCAAAATGTGGATTGCAAATAGGTATTCTATTTTAACCCTTGAACAAGTATAAAAGATGAACAATCTATTCAAGCAATTGAAAAAAATCTAATAGCCATATTCAAGATGTTGTCAAGTGATGAAATAGTCTAAACAGAAAAATCATGTACATTTTTCTACGGTCACTGCCCATTTGAGATTATAAGACCCAAATTAATCGTATCTATTGACTTAAATATATATCTTATACAGAGCTAACAAAGATGTGAGCTTGATATTCTAGTTTAACCCTTGAACTCACATCAAAGGTCAAACAAGCTATTAAAACAGATGAACTATTGCAGGCAACAAAGTTTATGCTCACAAGGTTGTGAAAACGAAGGTCTAACCAAATTTTCATGAACATTTTCTGTAGTGGTCTGCTTCCTACAGGAGGTATAAAAAAGTCCTCATGCATAATTTAATCTATTGTGATATCCCATGAAACATCATAAGGAAATGCCACAAGCCATAGTAGCACCACTATATATAGAAAACATGTAGAAGCAGTTTATTTGTCACTTATCTTGAAAATAAGGAAATTATAATTCTCTAAAGCATGAAGATGCTGACGACACACCTTGTCAAAGTAAGTTGCAGGAGGAGGTATTACACCTCCTCCACCCATAACAGGTTCAGCAATAAATGCAGCAATCTGTATACGAAAAGCCATATAAAGTTGCTGTGGTACAATCAATATCAAAATACAAAAAAAAGTTTCTAGATATTTTAAAGCAATACTGTCTCGGTCCCTCTTTCAAAATTAGTTCCTCCAAATTTTTAGCTAATCTGGTTGAGAACTCTTCCTCTGTCTCACCTGGGATAGGCATCAGCATGCATGATAATATGTAGCCACATTATACATGTGAATAAAACAGGTTTAAGAACATGACCTACTGAAGAAGCTACCTGGAAGGTGATACCGCCAGTAATGTGGGCAGTCAATGTGCAGCACGAATGGAGCAGGCAAATCAAACTTTTGATGCAAAGCTGGAAGGCTGAAATGTGATTTTCAGTTAACTGATAAGAATTCTGTTCTTATCTCATTTTCATAAATAAATAAAATATTCGGTACAAAAGCACTGATGCAATAATCGGGGGGAAAAAATCCTGAGTTCATCGTACCCGGAGAGACTGGCTGACATCAGCGTTGTACCATGATATCTATCAGAAACGTCAAGATATAAGCTGTTATGCATACTAGCAAGATACACAAAAGCGTCATTAGTTGAAATATCAAACATACGATTTTGCCCGAGCTATAAATTTCTTCTTATTTGGTCTTCCAAGTGCATTGTTATAATACCATACCAATTTCACCTGCAAGGAAAAGTGATGTAAATTAAACCTGAGCAAATGTTACCGCAATTACTGCCCATCTTAACTATGTTGATTCCACTTAAAATATCTAATTATAATTTTCTGCACAGTTAATTTGACTTCATTCAGAACTTAGATGACTAAATTTGCACTGAGAGAACATATTTAGCTTTGGCTTCTGATATCCAGTTATCTAATTACTCATAGGTTTTGGGTCTGCAAAGTTTTATGATATTGGGCTTCAGATATTATATGGCATATATGATTATTAAAGTAAAACTTAGTTAATGAACAAAATAAAAGAAGTAAGGTGAGAATATTTTCATGCACAATATGGTGAGTGACGAGTTTGTCAAGAGGTCATATGTTTTGGCCATGCTTCATGATCTGTTTTAATTTCTGAAAATGCTAATCTGCCAAGTTGAGAATCTTCCCGTTGTTGATATCACAAACTGTCCAGATATTACCTTATAGTACATAGGAAAAACTATAGGCATGATTCAAGCTGTCCACCTCAAAATTACATGAAGAAAATGATGTGTTATACATTAAAACGGCTTTGAACCTAACGAACCTGAGAATCATTGGCTTCTGATCCACTGTTAACAAAAAAAGCTTTCGCCATTTTTCTGGCTGTGAAAATTTCTAGAAGGTCACTGGCTAGATCCTGTAAGACTAAATTTATGTTTACGTACGAAAATAAAAAATGAATAATTCAATATCAAGAGAGAACTTTAGGGAGGGGTAATTAATAATCATTCTTCAATGAATGAAACCTAAAGTTAACAGGCGTATCAACTGGATAAGGATAAGCTTAAAATATTATGAATTAAGGAGCTAGAACTAGAAGTTTCAAAGGATTAATACACATATTTTCTTTTGCAAGAAGAGGAAAGAACAAATGAAAGAAAGAAATAATGTAACAGTTCAGGTGCAATTAATAAGTGCAAAATTATGTCTGGGTCAACTAAGGCCGAGTATATGACTACCAGTGATGGTTTTGTGGTTCGATTCCAAAATGAGTGGTAAAAAGGCAACTTTTTCAATTGTGCAGTTGCTGCGTCAACAAGACGTGGTTCATTCCCTCCTGCAAAATAAGATTGATACACATTTGTATGTTGGCGTGTTATTAGATCAACATTAACTCAGGGTCTGTTTAGCAGAGCATCAGGAGAGTCAAAAGTCCCGATTCAAAGTCCAAAAGCATATTAATGGTTCAGCTTTTGTTTGGATGAGCAATAGTTTTTAAGTCAAAAGCTAATCTCAGCGTGCAAAAGCCATAAGCCATTTTGAGTTACTTGAGGCAAAGCTACTTATTAACTGTGGAGAGAAGAGAAAAGGACAATGAAAAAAGAAGAGAGAGAAGTTTATGGGTCCCACTGATTTCAATAAAAAATGATAAAATCACCCTGTCAAATACTTGTTTCTATTTATAAACCACATGTACTCCAAATCTACAAATAAAAAAATACATTAAATTGATGATTTTTTCGCATTTGCTCTTATTAAAGAAAGAATATTAAAAATATGTTTTATATTTTATCTCATCGATTTATTTTATATTTCTCTATACATTTATTAAGGGGTAAAATTGAAATTTTTTTTTCTCTACAAGTGACTTATTAATTATACCCATTTTAGTAAGTTTACAAACTAACTTACCTATTCAATTATAACCCAAACAATTTTTAATTTTACCCAATTTAACTTTTTCAAAAGCCAATCCAAACATAAATCAAATTAACTAATATGACTTTTCCAAAAATCAAATTGAAAATAAACTACCTTTTCTGCCGCTAATCCAAACAGGCACTCAAAAGGCAACCCGCGCATTTTAAATTCTAGGCGACTTCACCATAATGTTTTTTTATCATGGTTTGTAGGTCATGCTTGTTTGATGTTATTACACTTGGAAATAATAATTTCAAATCTAATTGCGTTTTTCAACCTTAGTTGCCAGATACTGGATTAAGAAAAAAGAAGCAGATATACACAACACATTTATATTTGATGGGTAGAGGACAGGAGATATTCAAAAGTTTCCAGAAACAATATATATCTAAAGCATATAAAAAAAGATATATGTTTGTGTCATCTAAAAGGTAAAGGGGAACAATGAGATATCAATGATTAAGCAAAGAAGAAAACGGATAGAAAAGAACTCATAAATACCTAAAGCAGTGCACCATTAACCAGCGAGTGAGTCAAGATATTTTCTCCCATTCATGTCATATACATAGCTCCCCTGATTCCATTGGTTGGGTAAATTCCAAAATTGAGAAACAAGTCATTCTTTGAAATGGAAATGAAGCATATATACATTGTAACCATAAATTAAGGCTGTTATGTAATAAACTTTTAGGCAGGAGGAGAGGAAGTCCACCTCTGATCTTTCTATAACCAGAGGATTCAAATCAGTAGTCTGCCATCCAGCTGTGAAAGGAGCAAGCATATGGTGACCCTTGAACCTAAGACAACCAAAGTAATTTTAGCAGAAGCATGCATGGCAGTCATGTCCACAAGAGCAATATCTGATAAAAATTTTCAAGATATTTAAGAATTAGAGAAGCTAAAAAATTTGTCCCTGACCAAGGAACTGTTACCTTTTGAATAGGGGGGAAAAAGTTGTATTAGAAAGAGGAGAAAGTAAAAAGAGTAATAGTTGAGGATAATCAAGCAACAAATCGCAAACAAAATACACAAAACAGCTGCCCAATCTCTTAGCATATGAAAAATAAAACTTCTTTTCAAAAAACCTTGAGCCCAGCACCAAAGTTCGGCCATATGTGGACAATTCTTTCGTCTCATCAGATTTTAATAGGAGCAATAATCCTTGACATCTTTCTTTTGAAAACAATAGAAACTAAACAACTCTGCTCAAATGATCCTTTCCGAGATTTTGAACTTCATTGGGAAAGAGAAAATGGAAGAGTGACAACATTCAGAACCAATCTGGTTTATTGCAAGGGCAAGTGCAACATGCCCTAAGTTCAAAGCCGTTATGCCAACTTACAAACATGCAAAATAAAGCAATGACCAATGGACAAAAGCACACACGAGAGAGAGCTAACTGCATACCCTTCACGGTTTTCATCCTTTGGCAAAGATGCTTCAGTACTATAGGATCTAGACCATGAGGAAACCTGACAATTTTCCTGAAAGCTTTTGGAAACAGCAGCATATCTTGAAGCAATCTGTAAATCAAATATGAAAATATGCATCAATGGACAAGTAATTGAACAGCAAATACAGTATCGCTGGGGACATGTGTAACACACCAAGTTAGATAAATAACTCAGACAAGACTACTAGTGTTTAAGATAACTATATTTTAGAGAATAAAACAAAACCATACATTTGATGCTCTAACCTCAGGACAGGATGTTCTGCATCAGCAATTAAATTCATATATACTCTTATCATCGTAATTTCAAGCTTCAAGCACACAGATAATTTGGAACAATGTAATTATAATTTGATGATTTCAGGCAGCACAAAGAAAGTAGGAAATAGTTTCTCCGTATATTTTCCGCAGAAAGTGGCAGATGCATACTTTCTTGTGCAGAGGAAACCAAGCCTCTATTAAGTTATGACGACCTGCCATCTAAAACTAGAACACTCAAAAAGGGGAAATAATTATTGGCTTGCTAGTTGCTCTATTATCTCTGATATAGGTCAATTCTCTTGTACGCGGGTATGATGTTGGTTATGAATGATGAATACTGTATATGGATAGTTCACAAGAAATACAAACATAGCAATGGAGAAGGCTGCTATTTATGGAATTTTTTTAACAATATTCCAATGCTTCAAACGAAGAATGTTCTGAATCTTAAAATAAATGACATGCCCCCTATGAAATTGCACCCAAGTAATAATGATTTAATAGCAAAGCCTGGATGAAGTTAGAATTTCACGTATATAATTAATTCACAAGTTAAAAAAAAAAAATCCAAACTTGTATCCGTAGAAGAAGCCAACACCACCAACATAGTATTGCTTCATAAGGAATAAATTGACATGTTATAACAAAATATCAGAAATCTTGAAAAACATGAGCCTGACTCATTTTTTCCGTTTCCCATTTTGCCAAAGAAATTACTCCTCAGTCCTTAATATAAGACTTATTTAACTAATTTGATTAGATTAAGGGAGTTAGGTAAGTTAGTTAATTATAAGATCCTAAAACACCATAATCATTTTTCTTAATATCTTTTCTCCTTCTTCTACTTAATTATAGTTGAAAGAGTATCTATATGGGTAATATAGGAAAAATTAATAAATATGAGAAATATGTCTTATATTTAA